AATAATAATAATAATTAATAAACAAAAAAAAAAAGAAGAAAAAAAATAACAATAGAAACATATTAAGAATCTTCCTACGAAAAAAAAAAAAAGAAAAACTAAAGAAAAAAAAAAGTGGAGAACGATCGAGGGGACTCGCTTTTACGAAAAACAAAACAAAACAAAAAAAAAACAAAACAAAAAAACAATTTCGAGACGAACGTTCGATTATTATAACGGCGACGCGCGTGCTACAAAGTTACACTCGGATAAAAAATATAATATAAAAAAAAAACACCGTGATAATTTAAGACCAAACAACAACAACAACAAAAACAAAAAGCGTTTGTATAAATGTTTAAACGATCTAGTCGTCGGATATATACACGAGAAGACAAAACACACATCGATGTTTCATTTGTACTCTCAGTGATTTTTTCCTTGTCGAAAACTGGAACCAAAAAAATAACTATTCTAGTCAATAATCATACATAGATATATACATATATATACATTATACGTATATTATGTATAAATATATATATATAAACTTTAGGAATCGATGAGAAAGATGATAAAGATGGGACGAGTGGGTGAGTGGTGGGGTTGCCGGTGACTGTTCAGACGTATCATTGTTCCATTACAGAAAGTGGAACGAACAAGGCTACGATGTAACACACAAACGACAACCAAAAGCACACGCACATTACGAACAAACTTGTACATATGCGGTACCTGAAGATTGGATTGAAATGGAAACTAATGGGGGGTTGGGGTAATTGTAAAGGAAAATCGAAATCATTGTTTAAATCAAATCGGCCAAGTTGATACAAAGTATAATGATTGGCTTATCCATAGGAACTGATAAAAAAGAAAAAAAAAAAAAAGAAAATGTCGGAACGTGTTATAACGATGAAAGTGTGTCATAAAGCGAGAACGAGCCGATTAGGTTTTCTTTTTATAGGGGATCCGCACCATCTTTTTTACTGCAAACAAACAAACAAACAAACGAACAAACAAAAGAAAAAAAAGAAAAAAGCGAGCACGCTGTTTTAATACCATCTTTCTTCTTCATGATTTATCGTTCTATCGTCGCAGATCAAGATGGCCGGCCTAGTTCATAACCTAACTTTGTAAACGGCCAAAAACACACGCGTACGAGGCTAGCTAGACTCCGATGATCCTGGGATCCTTGCCAAACGCATATCACACGAACAAACGCGCATCCGTACTTTTCCAAATTTACGACAAGCGTTTGTTGTTGCTATTATTACTACTACTACTACTACTATTACTACTACTACTACTACTACTACTCTCTCTCTTTCGCTTGAAAACGCGAGAACGAAAGCGTTTCTATCTACGTGTGTGGTATAAATGTGTCTGGGAATGTGTGTGGATATGTATATGTGTGTGTGTGTGTGTGGACACATTTTATGCTATCTCGAAAATTAACATTTGCTATAGAAATATCTATACGTTAAACTATACACACACACATACACACAAATACAAATATGTGCGTACCATTGTACACATACCATGTGCATATGTATATCCTAATAATATTAGATTAAACGATACAATTATAACTCGAGCACATATTCGCGGTCAATCTTCGTTATGGTTGATTTCATTATTTCGAAATAATTCAACGTAAACTGTTACGAAAATTTTGATTAATTATTATACGTCCGGGTTATTCGAAAAGTAATTTCGTTTTTAACGATGTTGAATAAATCTGAAAATAAATAGTTTATGTATTATTACTAACAATAAATTAAAGTAATCATGGGGTTATCTTTTATAAAGGTAATTAAAGTAAATTAATAATAATTTGTATGGGACGAACGACTCAATGCCAAATACTTAAATAAGCATTCGTGAAATGATTGGACAGTGGGCCAATAATAAAAAAAGAAAAGAAAATAATATTAAAATAACAATTTTTTAATATAAAACAAAATTCAAAGAAATATGTTTGAAATGATTTTGCGTGAGAAATAATTGTACCGTTTACAGAGTCTTCTTCTTCCGCATTTACATTAGGCACTCGTTAATCCTAACCATCTGCGAGTTAAAAGACGTTTTATTAAAATTCGAAAGAATTATGTTTGCGGACTGGCAAGCTAAACGGTGATTTCCGCTGTTGGTGGCGAAAAAGAAAGGGGGGAAAAGAGAAAAAAAAAGAAAACAGATAAAAATAAAAAAAGTAAAAGACGACCAACGGAGTCTGAGCCTCGTGTCTAATATCCTAAACTTTGAAAAGAGTTACTGGTACCGGAAATAAATCAACGGCGAGTTTTAAACTTAACCGTTGTAAAATTAAACTACCATGATTTTTTTGGCTTCATTCTCTTGCAAATACCCTTTCCCCGTTTAAACAAACAAAAAATTAAATAAATCTCTCTGCCATTCGGGAGAGACGATTTAAATGCGAAACATTTTTAATCGATGAACGAGCAAATAATTTCTTCTGCACACGGTAAGTTACAAATTATTTTTCTACGAAAAATTATAAGAAAAAATATTATATAAAAATATGACCAATCATACAATTCTTTGTTAGCCTGCTGATGCTTGATTAAGGATAAGTTACAAAAAAAAAAACAAAATGTTTAGATAGAAAGTTTCTTACGGGGGATTGTCGTAAAAGAGGGGAAAAAAAATCAAAGACTGAAGATGTAAAGAAAAGGTGGAATGGTATAACGATCGCAAAAAAAAAAAAAAGGCACAGAAGAAGCTTGTGTCAGGAAAATAAAAGAGAAACGAAACTATGTGAGACCATAAAAGACTGACTTGAGGGCAAGTAGAGAAAGAGAAAAAGATAAATAAAAATAGAAATAGAAATAGAAAGAGAGATATCATCTGTATTCGTATTGTGTACTGTGTCCGTTATTTCGATGAGAATTAATTTTTCCCCATTCCCGTTCCCGTTCCCGTTCCTGTTACCAGGGTTGGGGTCCCCTAACGAGCTCGTTAAAAAGTTTCAACACGTTTAGAGTCAGATTCGAGAGAAATGACGTACAAAAAGCATTTAAGCTTCTTGCCTCAACTACTACTACTACTACTACTACTACTACTACTACTACTACTACTAAAAAGAAGAAGAAGAAGAAGAAGATAGTAGGAGGGTACGACTGAATGGACGGCTTAGTTTCTTCCTTGGCCACAAATAGTCGAGAAGATTCTTTTTTTTTCTTTCCTCTTTTATAAGACCCTCCTACGTTCGGAATCTACCAGTGAAATAAAAAGAAAGAAAGAAAAAAATATATAAAACCTTCGTTCCCGAGCTTTTAGTTTCATCTCTTTCCCTCATTTTTGCATCGAACCGAGCTGACACTTCGAATACGCAGTGCAACAGAGACAAAGAACGAGCGACTGTTAAAAGTCATGGAAAAAAAAAGGGGGAATAAGAATAAAAGAGAAAAAAAGATATATATATATTAGGTCTACCGGAAAGTTTTGTCCATTTTTGAATTGAAAGAAAATAACAACATTTTCAGACATTTAATAATATTTATTGTAGAATTTGTTTTTCCATCGTTACTTATGACTTCTTGCCTGCGTGATAGCAACTTTTAAATGCCATTTTTTTTAAATAATTGTTTTTTAGAGGCGAAAAACTTAACTAGTGCTTGATTTACATCATCTTCAATTTTGAATTTTTTTTCCTGTAAAAAATTTTGCAACGGGAAAAACAAGTGATAATCGAAGGATGCAAGGTCTATGGAGCATGGTGGATGTGATAGAATTTCCCAGCCTAGGTCTGCGATTTTCTGACGAGTCGCCAAAAAAACATGTCGTCTGGCATTATCAAAATACGGTGTGATGTGCTTTCTATTGAACATTGCTGGCCTCTTTTCTCTTATTTCTTTATTTAAATCATCCATTTGCTTAAAGTATTTCTCCAAATTTAGCTTTTCATTAGGTTTCAGAAGCTTATAATGTATTGGTCCTTGAATGTCCAGCCATATACACAACATTCTCTTCTTCAGGTTCAAACTCGGATTAGAAGGGGAAAGGGTAGTCTTTCCGGGCTCGCAAT